TATCAGACAAGTTTTTCCCTACTACACTGATCATTCTAGAGTTCAAATTATTCTCCCTTGATCATCATCTTCTTTACAGAAACCTGTAAATATCTTTTTTTTTTGGGGTATCCTTGTGCCAGTTGACATACACATCAGGTTCAAGAAGGGTTCAAATATCTTTACATAAACATGCCACTGTTCTTAGTTTAACTTTCTTGCATCTTAACCTGATGCAAATCGTATACTCCTGCCTCGTATGTCCTTGAACACGAATTTGATGTTGTGAGTTGTTATTGGAAACTGATTTCATCTGGGTTTAGTTATATGGTCAAGTTCTCGATCTGGGCAATTGTTCTTGGAAATTGATTTCATCTGTTTTTTTTTTCGGGATTGATATTTCGGTCTAGTGTTTAGCAATTTGGATTAATTTTAGTTTTTGTGGTGGATTTGATGTAGCAGGTTGCAGTTAAAGCTTAACTTCATATTGGTTTGTTATCTGGTCAATTTCTCGATGGTTTGGGTTCATCCGGGTTTTTGTTTCTTTTTGGTTTATAATCTTGAATTCAAAGGTCTGTGATTGCATTTGAAATAAAGTGAAAACAAATTTATCTGGTTTTTTCATCAGATTAATCATTTATTATGTGTGTTTATTGAAGCTGTGAATCAATTAAGTTTTTATGATCAAGAAAAATTGAACTCATTTGAGGGTTTTTAGTTCCTGTAGTTAGCCACTTGGATGTTGTGTATTTTTGAGGAAGAAGAACTCATGGGGAGAGAGAGAGGGAGGGAGAGAGAGAGAGAGAGAGATAAAGAGAGAGGGCCCCCTCTTAATTTATTAATTATTAAAATAAATATATTAGTATTAGATTTAAAAAGAAATAAAAGAAAAATAAAAAATAAATAACCCAAGGGTATTACAGTCATTTTCTATTCAGAGGGATCAAAAACGCAACGAAACTAGCTCAAAAAGACCACGAAGCCAAAAAAAGTCGGGGTTTAGACTAAAACCCAAAAAAAATACATACCACGGGGACCATTTTTGCATTTTTGTCTACAAATTATTTCAAATGCGGAAACCATGAGGGGAGGATGTTGTTCCATCACACCGTGCCCTTCCCTTTGGAACTGGATGTACTTGAAACCATAAACATTAACTGTAAGCATAAAGCTTAGTGAGTTTCCTAAAATACCACATACACAAATATACAAGTGCCATGGTCTACCCCTATGGTCCTTCCTTGCAATACCGATGGCCAAATCTTGGTCTTAATGCGAGTGCCATAGGCTACCCCCATGGTCTTCCCTTGCAATGCCAAGGGCCAAATCCCGGTCTTACATACAAGTTTCAGGGGCCAGATCTTGGTCTTTCATACAATTACCAGGGGCCAGATCCTGGTCTTTCATGCAATTATCACAAAGACAACTAACATTCCACATAACAAGCAATGGGCCGACATTGGTTCCTTCGAACCGTGGATCTTGTGAGGAAACTCACCTCAACTGTTGAAAAACCAGACAAATGCTTGGGCTGCTGGACTGGAAAAATCCCCATGCTAACTAAACAACAAAGTCCCAATTAATAATTGGGACATAACCCATAAATTAAAATCTACATTACTTGCCTAGAGTCCAAAGTAAAAAGGGCCAATTAATCCTTTTTCTTTTAAGCTCAATAAAATATCCTAGGCCCAACCCCAAAGATCATCTAAAGTCTAAAATGGGCCCAAAATCGGAAGCGACCCATTACCATGAAAATCTATGGTCCAAGCTCAACAAGCAAACCCAACGATAAAGGCCCAAAATCACCAAATCTGAACTGGGTCGTACACTCGGGTACCAACTGGTACGTGCAGCGTACTCGACCGAAGTAGGAAAAGATCGCGAGTGGGGTGCAGTACGCGCGGTGTACTGGGAATTACGCCTAGCGTATGCACCCCTAAGGAAAAACTCATGTTAAGGTCTTAATGCCTTAAGACCCTACGACCAAAATTCAGACCTGAGCTTAATAAGACCCCTAAAGCCATAAAGTTGTAAACTTTATGCCTTTGCATAGCTACAAGAAGCCTAACACTAAAAACCTACCTTACTCAAACATTTTCTACACTATAACTCTTGCATGGGGACAAATCAAAGTCTAAGCTTGCATTTTTATGAATTAAAATGCCTTAAAACATCTGAAAGGACACCTTAAAGGCTTTGGAGTTCTCTTACTCTCCAAGCTCTTGGTTTTGGGACAAAAAGATGAAAATTGAGGCTTAACTAAGATCTAAAGAAACATAAGCCAAGTTTGGAGCTTTATACCTCGAAATGGTGCAAAATGAAGAGAAGATGTTGGATCCAAAGTATTGAGAGCAAAGCCTACTCCTTGAAGGTCCTTCTTCACAACAAGGAAGCACACAACTCACTTCAAAAGCTCAAAATGCTCAAAATGAACTAGGGTTTGCAAGGAGGGTCGATCTTGGGATGGAGGCTGATAAAGGGAAAGGTCTTGGGGCTATGATGGTGCTTAAATAGCGCATAAACCCTAAATATTAGGGTTTTGGTCCGAACCATGTACACCCGGCGTACCGGAGTACGCTCAGCGTACTGGCGCGGCCACAGTACGCCCAACGTAATCGAGCAGCACCTAAAAGTCACGAATTTGACATTAGGGACCCTTCTTGCAACAATTCATAACTCAAGGGTCCAAAAGCAGACTTGAAAAAATATAGATGTTACAGGTAAGTTTTTGGTTTTTTAAGTATTTTTAACTTAGTTTCTAAATTGATTAGTGTTTTTGCATTTTTACAGAGAAATGTTATCTTTGTGGTGATGGTTATGCACACACTCGAGGATTTATGGTCCCGTATCGTAATGTGAGGTACTGCTTGAGGATTTTCGTCAAAGACGTGTATTAACCTAGGGCTGTAAACGAATTGAACGTTCAGCGAACAGTTCGTGAACCGTTCGGCGGGAAGTTCATTTATGTTCGTTTATTTAATAAACGAACGAACATGAACACAAATTATCGTTCATTTAGTTAAACGAACGAACATGAACAATGGTCTCGTTCGTTCAATTATGTTCGTGAACGTTCGTTTATGTTGTTCGTTTATGTTCATTCATATAAGTTCATTTTATGTTCACATATGCTTAATTGTGTTTGATTACATTGGTGTATTATATGTTCATTTATGTTCATATATCTTCAATTGTGTTTTTTTTTTATCTTTGTTCATTTATGTTCATTTGTTTATGTTCATTTAGCATGTTCACGAACATAAACGAACGAACATGAACAATGCAATTTGTTAAACGAACGAACATGAACAAGAAAACTCGTTCGTTTATCCGTTTGTGTTCGTTTATTTGTTCGGCTAACTTAAACGAACGAACATGAACAAGCCCCGTTCGTGTTCGTTCGGTTCGTTTACAACCCTATATTAACCAATAAAGAAAAATTTAACCATGGACATGCAAAACTTCGGAACGTCATTGAGTGTGCTTTTGGTGTTTTGAAAGCACGTCATTGCCATGACATGTTTCACGCTTCATAATTTTATAAGGAAAGGACTGAGTGATGAGTATAAGGAAAGGACCGACCCGACCCGACCCGAATAACCCGAATACCGAATAAGGGTAATTGCATGAACCGAAAACCGAACCGATTTACCAATACGGGTTCGGTTCGATTCAGGTATTAATCGGTTCGGTTCGGTTATTAACATGTACAAGATGATTAAGGACCTAATATAACCGAAAGAACCCGAATAAACTATATTAGGATTCTATAACCGAATAACCCGAATAATAGAATAACAATATACTTTTATACATCAACGTAAAACATTCAAAGACTAACATAACACAATAACACATTGAAACAATAACATTTACATAGTAGATTAACATAATGAGAATTAATTTCTTATTTGAGTTTCTTGAGTTGGAGCCTAATTTTTCATGACTAGACAAAGTAGAAATTCGTGAATCCTTAGAGACAATAGGAAGGGTCGATTTTTGAAAGTCTGAAACAAGAGGATGGATCGACAGAAGTGATTTGGAGTTTGGAAATAGTCGAGAAGATTGGTCGATTTTGAAACGATGAGAACGAGCATAGTGTCCTTTTTCTGTTATGAACAACGAGGACAAAAGTGTGAATCATGATTTTGATTTCTGTCAATAAGAGAATGGGGATGAGGAATGCTTATTCGGGTCGAGTATTTAGAACCGAATAAGCTCTAATTTGGGTAAACCAAACTGAATAGCCTGAGAACCGAATAAGCATAATATAGATACCCGAAACCCGAATCGAATTGCTTATTCGGGCCTAATTCGGTTCGGTTCGGTTCAGGTTTTCGGGCCAAATTCTCATCCCTAATGTACCCGTTGATGATGATGAAGACGAGGTTCCAACACATGGTATGACAACAGACCGTGAATATATGACTTAGTTACGGGATGACTGAGCAGTTGATGGAAAATATGGATTGAATTATTTTAAAAGAAATTGTTATTGTAAAACATTAATTTTATTTCAATGTTGTATGACTATTATTATAAGTGTTTTGGTGTTTAAAAACCATTTTAAATTTGTAAAATTAATTTAATTGAAATTCAATTTATTTCAGTAGGCTACAGACGTTAAAAAAACAAACAGACTTTTTATTACAAACTGCAGACATCTGGTCCACCTCTTCTGCTGCATAAGCTTATGATCCAGATATTTTTGCTTTAAAAAAACAAACTAACACCCTACTAAAATAGGTAGCTTAGTATCATCACAAATGGAGATATTATCCCCTAACGTGGCAATACCTGAGAGCCTTAGTAGGACGAGGAACCTATTCTTTTATGACATTAAACTTCGAAAAATATAAATTTTTTTACGTAAATATCTATTTAAATACTATTATAATAATTTGACAAGGGAGGCATGTTATTATTTAAGACCAAAATCTAGCACGTCTCTCAAGCTCCTTTCAACCACAAAGTCTAGCAGGTGTAGATCTCTCTCTGCTCCTTCACCCATCACACAAATGGCTTCAACTCGCCACCCTCATTTTGTATTGTTTCCGTTCATGTCCAAAGGCCATACAATCCCGTTGCTCCACCTAGCCCAGCTTCTCTTGTCCCGCCGCGTTACGATCACCCTTTTCACCACAAAAGCCAACCGACCATTCATCGCCCACTTTTTCCACCGTCACTCAGATTCAATCTCCATCGTAGACCTGCCATTTCCTATCCAAGTTGAAGGAATACCTCAAGGTATAGAGAGCACCGATAAGCTCCCTTCTATGTCCTTCTTCACGCAATTTGCCACTTCAACCAAGCTTATGCAGCCACACTTTGAACAAGCACTCGAGAAAATCCCTCATGTGACCTGCATCGTTTCTGATGGGTTTCTGAGTTGGACTCTTGAATCGGCAAATAAGTTTGGGATCCCTCGCCTCTCATATTTTGGCATGAGCGGCTACTCCACCGCTGTAACTCAACAAGTGGCTGGAAACCGGTTGTTGTCAGGACCTGAGACCGATGATGATTTAATCGCCGTGACAGGGTTCCCATGGATCAAAGTCACAAGGAATGACTTTGACGAGGTGTTTAACCAACGAAATCCAATGGGTCCTCAACAGGACTTCGTAATGGAAGTTATCATAGCAATGGCGAATAGCTATGGCCAGATTATGAACAGCTTTTACGAGCTAGAGCCAGAGTTTTTAGACTACTTGAATCGCGAGTCTAAGGCCAAAGCTTGGAGTGTGGGTCCCCTTCCCTTGGCTGTGACTGAGTCGCCACCCAATGTTGACCAGAAGCCCAAATGGATCAGGTGGCTAGACCAAAAGGTAGCTCAGGGATGCTCGGTTTTATACGTAGCATTCGGTTCTCAAGCAGAGATATCATCGAAACAGTTGAAAGCGATATCAAATGGTTTGGAAGAATCCCAAGTGAATTTCTTGTGGGTAGTGAGGAAGTATGAGACTCTTGTTGTTGACGAGTTACAAGAAAGAGTGGGGGAAAGAGGGATGATTGTAAGAGAATGGGTTGACCAACTTGAGATTCTGAAGCACGAGAGCGTAAAAGGGTTTGTGAGCCACTGTGGTTGGAACTCAGTGTTGGAGAGCATATGTTCAGAGGTGCCGATACTAGCGTGGCCGATGATGGCTGATCAACCTCTGAATGCAAGAATGGTGGTGGAGGAGATTAAGATCGGTTTACGGGTTGAGACATGTGATGGATCAGTGAAAGGGTTTGTAACATCAGAAGGGTTAAAGAAAATGGTGAAGGAGCTCATGGAGGGTGAAAAGGGGAAGGATGTAAGGAAAAAGGCGAAGGAGATTGGTGAAGCTGCAAAGGAAGCAATGGCGGAAGGTGGGTCATCTTGGCGGATATTGACCGAGCTCATAGATGAGTTACAGGCTGTGAGAAACTCCAAAATAGGCGATTTTCCTAGATCGGAAGGAGATGCAACCTCTGCTACGAGCAATGCAGAGGCATAGATTTGCAAAGGATGATGTACCCCGAGTAGATTTTAATTATCTTTAAAATTAACCCAACTAAAATAATTAGGGTTAATGAATTTTACCTCAGCTCAATGCTTATTTATACCCATATCAACATTATATTTTGCGGTTTCCGCCATCCCTAGAAACTCCGGTTATCTTCAGCGAAACATGATTTTTCCGAGGATTTTTTTGGGATCTGTTGTTCTTTTGTGTGTTATGTGTGCTGTTTATAAAAAACTCAAATATGGATGAAAACCTAACAATCAAATGCGATGAACTCCATAGATGAACTCGATGCCATGGATGAACTCGAAAAACACAGATCTGTCGCCAATGAACTCGATTTTTCCAGAAGTTTACGTGTTCAAGAATCCGTTAAGACCTGCCACGGATGTGTGTGTTCATCAGAAATGTGTCATAGATGTACTTCAACAATTTCAGATCTGCCATGGACGTGCGTTCATGTTTGGCCGAAAACTCATGTGTCATGCATGTGTGTGTACCTTCATCGATTTCAGATCTGCCATGTGTATGAGTTCGACTTCTAATAACACTGTAACAAAAAGAGACTCGTTGCTGTTAACATATACTAGTATTATTATTATTAGACATTAAACTTTATTGTGCCTTCGTCATGATATTTATACAAAAGTTCTAGAATTTTATATAGAAACTTCTTACCTAATAATCCCAATCTAATAACAGTTTTTGGGGGTATTAATGTAATTTAACAGTCTAATTAGTTAAGAAAGATTGTTAATACCAGCTAGTTAGAGACTTTTAGTAACTAATTAAGTATGTTAGCGTATTGTAAACATGTATATAAGGATCTTTGTAATCAGTATTGCACTGATGAGAATTAGAGTTTCTCTCTCTTCATTTCTTCTTATAGAAGTTGTTATGGTATCAGAGAATACGGGTGGGCATTTGGACCGAACCGGACCGGCTCTTGGACCAGACCGGTTATTGAGAATATTGTGGATCATGTACCGGTCCGGATGAGTTGTGTCCGTATCCGTGTCCGTGTCCAGGTTTTCTGGTTCTTGGACCCGTTTGGACGGGTACAACTTTAATTGAATAGAGTACAGGTCGTTAAAACAAGTTTTTGGGTTTGATAGAACTCGTTAAAATGAATATGTTGTTGAGTTTGATACGATACAACTTGTAAAAATGATTACGTTTCCGTTTCATGCATAACTAATCTACCTTGATGTAAAATATTATAACTTGCAAAATTAATTTTCCAAATAAAAGCAATTAACATATAAATCAAGTTCACCAACAAAAATTAACAATCTTAAGAGCGTAACACCAAAAATCATAGTTTAAACTTTAAAATCAATTAAATTAACAAATTTCATAAACTCATAATCTAATCTTCCATTGGCCTATTCCCCTTATCATTGTCATCCATATCTAACATGTTTAAAGTTTGTGCAATCTCCACATAAACACAAATGAAAATGTTGTTAGTATTTAATAAAAAAGTAATAATTATATAAAAAAAAAGAACAAAGATTGTATTTTTTTTACCCAAAGCTATATCATCATCGTTCAAGATGTCATCAATGTTGTCAATTATCGGATTTATAGACTTTCTCACCCAATCTTCGGTGCATAACACAGCTTCAACTATCAACGTCGATAAATTAGTCCAATACTCACTTACAACTCTACCACATGTGCTAAACGCGGACTCGGACGCTACACTTGAGACTTGTATCGCCAACATGTCTAACAACAAAGAATTAAATTGTAATGACATTAATTTATAAAGAAACTATGAAAGACTGAAAAAAAAGTAATCACTTTTTGCCATCCGAGCAACTGTTGGGAACCTAATCGCATTTACTCTCCACCACCCGAGAATTGAAAAATCTTTTTTATAATTAACTATATTCTCTTTCAAATAAGTTCGTAACTCGTTATCTATTGGATCCGAGTTGCTACCTCCCGTACAAAGAAAATCGCCGAAAAAATCGTTATCATCATCAACATCAATGACTATTTGACTCGCTTCTTATTGAGATGATTCACCGCTGTCAAATCGTTCCAAGTAGGTCAAATAAATTCTCCATCCTATTCTCAACCTCTCGGACCATTTGATGTGCTTTTATGTCTATCCCCGCGGGGGTCAATGACGGTTCCATGTACCTGATCATTTTTTTAAATGTAACAAAAAAAGGTGATTTGGTGGTAGGATCAAGTAAAACCGCAAAGTACATAAAATCGTTCATCTTGTTGTATACACCCCAATACTTGTTGTATTTCGTCTTCATGTCTTTTACCATTTCGAGAAACATTGGTTTGGTTGACCACTTTATTAGATGTACGTCCACATCTAAGACTTCCCGGATAAAAAGATTTACCAAAGGTTTTGATGTAGCCGAAACAAGCTCTGTTTTTGTCTTGAATTTTCAAAGAACTTCAACATTTCGATTACAATTTCAAAGTCATAATTTTTCGGTACTCTACCGAGATCCATTTCATATGATTTATCTGTCAAAGATACATAAAATTTAAAATTATAGTCTAAAATAATAGCTAAAAATCTGAAATATTTCAGCTTTGATAGCTCAATTTTGAAGGATTGTAACTTACTGAATATAATACCAAAATCAACAAAATTATAGTCTAAATTCATCTACAAACTGTAAACTAAATTTTGGAAAAAACCACAGGTCAATCCGACTTAAAACGAATTAGTTATGGTTGTTTAAAAATATCACAGATTACATAATTTTAAAAATCTTGCTGAAAAGCTGAAATTTTCCAGCTTTGATAGCTCAACTTTGAAAGACTTTAACTCATTGAATATAATACCAAAATCAACAAAATTATAGTCTAAATTCATCTACAAACTATAAATTAAACGTTGGAAAAAACCGCATTTCAATCCGATTTAAAGCGAATGAGTTATGGTTGTTTAAAAATTTCACAGATTACAAAATTTTAAAAATCTTGCTGAGAAGCTAAAAATGTTCACCTTTGATAGCTCAACTTTGAAAGACTGTAACTCATTGAATATAATACCAAAAACAACAAAATTATAGTCTAAATTCGTCTACAAACTGTAAATTAAATGTTGGAAAAAACCGCGTGTCAATCCGACTTAAAACGAATGAGTTATGGTTGTTTAAAACATTTCACAAATTACAAAATTTCAAAAATCTTGCTGAAAAGCTGAAATGTAACTTAAAAATAAATATTACCTCTTACGCCAACTTCCATAAATGCCTCTCGTAACTGGTATGCGGACTTCAATAACTCGATAGTCGAGTTCCATCGGGTAGGGGTATCACCACATAGAAACTTCTTCGTTTGTAAGCCACAATCTTTCATCGCCTTCTTGAACTTGTGTATTCTTTGTGGTGACAATCTAATATACCATACCGCCTTTTGGATACACTCAACATGATAGTTTTGGTATTTTAGTCAATCCTTTACGATAAGGTTTAAAATGTGGGCCATACACCTAACTTGGAAATGATTTCCACCCTCGTAAAGATTAGGCAACTTTTTGACCAAAAAGTCAACTGCCTTGTCGTTTGTAGCGGCGTTGTCCAAGGTAATGTTCATGGCATTAAGTCAACTGCCTTGTCGTTTGTAGCGGCGTTGTCCAAGGTAATGTTCATGGCATTTTTCATTCCCCATCTACGAATACAATCAAGTAAGTCTCAGCCCATATCCTCTCCCTTATGGCTATCTATCTCCCTAAACTTTATAATTCTCTTGTGTATTATCCAATTCTCCTCTATGAAGTGAGCCGTAACCACCATGTAAGTAGTCCTTTGACAAGAAGATGTCCAAGTGTCCGTTGTCAAATGTATAGAGGTCTTTGGGTTACATAAAAATTGAAGCATTTTGGTTCTTTCTTCTATGTAAAACTTGGAAACATCCCGGGATATCGTATGTCTAGATGGCAACACGACCTTAGCATTAAGTGCGTTGGTGTATTCCACAAAAGCCTCATTTTCAACGAACTTTAAAGGTAGTTCGCCTATCACAAAAAGGTTAAGTAATGCTTTTTTGATCCTAGCATCATCGTGTTTCCATGTTTTAACACTAGTCTCCCCATTTGACTACTTTAGATTCAATTTGGTTTGAGTTTGATCTTGTAGCTTATCCGGGTTTTTTTGACACCTACCTACGTGTTTGAGTAAACTAGAAGTCCCGTTTCTTTCCATATCCGCCTTCAGTAGCCTTTCACACCAATGACATTTTCCGTATCTTCTTTTGACACCATCATCCTCTTCTATCATAACTTTATCAAATTTGTCCCAACAAGAGGATGTTTCTTTGGCACTTGTTTTTTTTTTTTTGCGACTTGTTTTTTTTTTTTTTTGCGACTTGTTTTCTGTTTTCCGTTTGTTCTTTTTCATTTGTTAAAATTTGATTGATCATCTTTTTCCGAATCGCCAACTAAATTAATTTATCAACATTCGTAACCTAGTTTACATATAGTCACAACATAAATATTTTCACAATTATTCAACAATATATAGCAACATACTTTATAACATTCAACAAAAATTAACAAAATTCAACCAAAAATTGTGACCCTAGTTTACATATAGTCACAACAAAAATATTTTCACAATTAATCAACAAAATATAGCAACATACTTTATTACATTCAACAAAAATTAACAAAATTCAACCAAAAATTGTAACCCTAGTTTACATATAGTCACAACAAAAACTTTTTCACAATTAATCAACAAAATATAGCAACATACTTTATAACTTTCAACAAAAAATATCAAAATTCAATCAAAAATCGTAACCCTATTTTACATACAATCACAATAAAAACTTTCTGACAACAAATAACTTAAATATAACAACATACTTTATGACATTTAACAAAAATCAACCAAAAATCATAACCCTAGTTTACATATAATAACAATAAATTTTTTTTGACAAGAATTCAACTAAATATAACAACATTCTTTGTTAATTCAACAAAAATTAACAAAAAAACAACCAAA